CAGGAAAGATCATTTAGATTAAGGTAAGGTTCAAATTTAAGAATAGTTATTCCTAATTAATTCCCTGTGGGGAATTATTCTAATTCTGAAATAAAAGCACCTTCCAGAATAACTTCCTGTATACACAAGCTCTAAGTAAAGAGGTGAACTTCTTTGGCCATCAAGTGTACTTATGTAGAAGTAGCTTCCTAAATAGGATATGATAAAATATGTTCCTTTGGCAAACAGCAAGGGATTGCAGAATAAGACATACAATACAATCACATATCTGTTTACAATATACACTCAGACCTGGTCTACACTTAAAAGTTAGGACAGCAGAGCTTTGGTGCTTAGCGGTGTGAAAAATATAATTTATAGCGCTGACCTAACCCCCACTGTAGATGCATCTAGGTCATCTAGATTCTTCCAGCGACCTAACTACTGCTGCGGAAGAAGGTGCAATACCTACAGCAATGGAAAAACCTCTTCCATCACTGTAGGAAACATCTACACAACAGCGCTAGAGCAGCATAGCTCCAGCGCCATAGCTGTGCCACTGTAGTGCCCATACTGTAGTTAGATAGTATACTAGGTGCTAAAGAAAAGCCTCCGATAGATGCCAACCTTTCGGAGCTTAATTCTACAATGATAAAACAGTTCAAATACAACCGTAGTCTTGTGTTTAAAAAGATCTGAAATCTTCTTTCCTTCTTTAAAAAAAAAGGACTTTACACACCATAAGGTCCAATACATATGAGACATTGTCTTGAGCCTACTAGGACATTATAGGATTGCAGTGGTGACAATTCCCCCAAAATATCATTAAAACAATCATGTCACATCACACTTACCCACAACACTCAAGATCAGTCTCCAACAAAAATATTTTGCAGCAGACTGGGACACTAATATTCATAATAAGGGACAACTATAGGGGCAGCCATAAAAGAACAAGAACAACAAATTTCTTGAAGATGTTTCAGATATTGGGATAGTTTTCAGCTACACCAGTGGCTCTCAATCAGTGGTCCACAGACCCGTGGGAGTCTGCAAACTATGTCTAAAGGGATCTGCATCTCCATTCAAAAAATTTTAGGGGTCCACTAAGCAATACTACCAGCCTTTTTGCTTTGACAAGTTTACTCTGATGCAATACACAAAGCAATTTTTGTACAAGATATAGCTTCACAAAACATGTTACACACACAAACAGGTTTCCTTCCCTTTCTACCACACTCATGTTATTCCACGGTTTCTTCCTTGTCAAACTTAAAACAACTGCAATACAACTTATGGAAACTGCATTAGAACTATGTAGTTAAAGCAAATTTATCTGAATCTAACTTTAAGACTGCATATGAAACTTACATTTGAAAAGAATGGTTGGAATGAAAATTCTAATCTCTACTATAAGAACATAATAACACAATAACTTTAATGCAAGTCTAAATCTTCAACTGATGTAAATCAGAGGCAGTAAGAAATGTAAAATATAA